TAACAGAATTGGCCAAATATGTTAAGGAGTTTCACTTTGTTCTGCCATTTATTGCTAGAGGCCGGGCTGATCCTAGACCTCATGTGGAAAGGGGAGTACGATGTCCCTCTTCTCTTACCTCTGATCAGACTGGTTTGTGCTAGGGCAGTTCTCCATGAATTTTCAGCCCAGGGACACTGTTGCATTGAAGGGCCTAAAATATCTGGGCTTGACAAACCTCTTTTTTTTAAGGATATTACACATGCACACAGATGACAAGGGAAGAATGACAGGGGAGCCAGGACTGAGCGAGTTTCAGCAGGGGAGAGGGTAAGGGAGATGATGGTCTGCCATTGCAGGCAGCCTGCTATGGTAGTGAGACAGTCTCCGTTGCTGGAGAGAGCTTCTCAAGTGCAAAAGGAAATCCTCTAACCACACTGCTCGTTATTCTTGTTACATGATTCCTAGAGACAGGGGCTGGCCCACGGGAGGGCAAAACTATCCCAATATTTAGGAGATTCAGAGATGAAAGGGAGAGGGGAGAAGGTCTGAGAAGTGGTGGTATGAGACAGGACGAAATATGGCAGGGGAGCTATGGAGGAGAAGAAAAGCAGAACAGATATTTCTCAGCTTCACTGCTTTGGTCTTGTCCTTTTTTGCCCCTTCTTCATTAAAGTTGAGACCTTTCAGGACAAGTAGCTTTTTTTCTAACTTGTCTGTTAAATACTTATTGTGAAGCCTTGTGTCCAGCTGTTTCATCTGCTTCTTCACTGTGCTCACCTGATGGGGCATGTAGGGCTCTTGTAAACATCACCACAGAGTAGGAATAGCTACTGTTAGCTCTGGGACTCCCTGGTTCAACCTCTGGCATTGCCCTGTACGGAGGCTTTTGCCCACTCAAGCTGCAGGTGCTTTTCAGTAGTCAGTGGTGCAGAGTGGAGTCATAGGGGAACGGCAAGCAAAAGAGAAGAGCCCTTTAACCTGAGCTGTGAAGCAGCTGTGAACAGCTCATGCTGTCTCTGCCTTGGGTTGTCTTATTACAATCCTTCCCCAACCCTTTTCCACCCTAGCCAGAAAGCAGTAGGCAGCTGCATCTCCAAACATTGCTTTGACTATTTTCCTGACAGACTAACCCAACAGCCCCCAGCTTTCCCACCCTGACCTGAGGGGCTGGCACTGCCATCCTTGGAGCTGTTGCCATGCACAAAGGATGGTCCAAAGAAGCTGCTGTTGCTCCCAGAGGGGCTCGGTTGTCCCCGGACCCTGTCCTCACCAGGTAGCACCCAACAGCGTAGGTGGCAGGAGCTGTCAGGACTGCTTCGTGGTGGTCTTCACCTCCATTCCCTTTCTAAACTGGAAAGGGACTCTGGGCTGCATGGCAATCTGGTCACAGTTCCCAGTACGCCTGGGTGCGGGCAGCTGAAGACCCTGTGTGCTGTCCCACTGTAATATCAGCTTAACGATGGCATCATTACGAAGATAGCTGGTGTGCACCCTGAGCTTTTGCCAGTGTCAGTCAGTCCTGCATGCTGGGCTTTTGTCCTGGGAAGGAAATTTTTCTTATCATATCACTTTCTTCTCAGTCTGCTGTTTGTAGTTATGTTTGGTAAAGTCCTTAAATATGTGCTTAAATTTACTCACGTGCTGTGAGTTTATCAGCTTGATTTCCTAAGGATGTGAGACCCTTGTGATTCTCTTCTCTCTCCCCCAGGTCTGTCTGTCAGCTGCCTCCCCTAAAAATTTTTCTAGCTGTTGGCCCTTTTCGGACGAATTTTCTGGAGGGAGGGATCTCAGGCATAATAAAGCTATTGCAAGCTTCCTGAAAAGCAGGGACTTGGAAGGAAAGAGACTGAAGTGCCCTGAAAGAAGGAAATGTCACCACATGAGCTCAATCCCTATCAGACACCAAAGGACCCAGGTGAGAGAGAGCCTCATGGACTCCTCACTCACAGGAGAAGCCCCAGTCAGAGCTTGTTACTGACCACGGGCTACATATTTCAGGGAAATCGTGCTCGTGGTCAAAGGACAATTAATTCATGGGTCAGAGGAGCATTTGTCTACGCTCATCTTGCCCTTGAGCGCTTTGTAGCTGTGGCTTTTCTCACGTGCTGAAGCCTAAAGCAGGGTCTGGATCTAGAGTGAAGAAGGAACTGGGACTTCTGTTTGTTTGCCATGCTTGCCATGCCGTCTACTACCCGGGCATATTGGGGAGTTTCTCCTAGTGAATTTGCTGGAACCTGGGCATTGGATGTCTCTTGTTCTTTTCTTGGTGTCTAAGATATTTCTTCAGGTCTTTGGTCTTTGGAATTATAGATTTCTTATAAGGTGCATGTGGGAGAAACAGAAAGGGTGGACTATTTGGGGGTTTTCTGGACTTAACATCCATTAAGCCCATTCCCTCCCATATGCACACACACTCATGTTCATCAGGCAATAGGACACAACCACGCAGCTCAGATCTTTGCTTAGCTCCATACCTGCCTGTGTTCTGGATGAAGGCTCCCTATTATTCCTAATGATGGAGACCAGTGCCATTTTATGGAAGGGAGGCTAAGGTTATGATGTTTTCCAGGCTGTGGAAGCAGCACGTCTTGTTGTGAGTCAGCAGGTAAATTCTCAGTATAGTAAGATGGAAAAACATGAGGTGCTCCAGAAAGGCATCTTATCACAGGCAGCGCCCTATGCCAGGAACCCCCAAGCTAGCAAGCAGGGAAAACTGAGGGCTGGAGTGTTTGCCTCTTATATACCTTATTTCAGGTGTAAAGGACCTTCAGCAGTCAGAGCCCTAAACCCTCTACTGAAATTAGATACATAAAGCCTTCCTGAGTGAACTTTTCCCAGGTTTGGCTGGAAGGAGAGGCTCTGCCACTGCTCCTGTGCCTACCCAGCAGCTCACTCCTCTGTGTACTTGCTCAAATTACAGGAGAGCTGGGTTCGGCTGCTGACTGCCTCCAGGGAGACCAATCCCAGGCAGTTCATCTCCCAGGTGAATGGCTCCACACCTCAGCCACGCAGCCACTGCAGCCATTTGTTTCCCTCTCCCTGGCCCGGTGAACATGTGGTGAAGTCCCACAGCTGGATGAGCTCTGGCAGTGAAGATTGAGAGTGATCCCCACAACATGTTACGGCTTGAGGTGAGGGAGGTGCTGTCACAAGAGGCAGCAGATTAAAACCTGCTTTGCCCACTCCTTTCACAAGTGCTCCCATGGTTGAGTTAGTACAGAAATTGGGAGCACCAGCACCTTGCTGGGCTGTGTCCTATGCAGGATACTGTCTCTTGCCTTCTGAGACCTTCTCCCCATTTAATTCCCTCAGGTGACAGAGGCAAAGGAGTGCTCAGTCTGCAGATTGCTCTTGTGCTTGGGCTGTCAGATTGCTGCTGCTGCAGTTCCCAGTCTAGGAGGGGGACTGTGAAACTTCAAGACATGCACTGAATCAGCACTGCAAGTGCTTGGGAAATTTTGAGGTCAAAGCCACAAGTGCCAGTTGCTGCGTGGCACGGTTAGCTGGTAGCTGAGCATTAGTGGACTGGAGCACTACAATTATGTAGTCTGCTGCAGATCTAATCCTCAATCTCTTGCCCAAGGTCACATAAGAAGTCCATGCCAGAGAAGCAACTGGAAACCAGATCACCAGAGTCCTAAACTAATGTACTCACTGCTGAATCAAACCCTGCAAAATAAAAGCTTTAAGTCAGATTGTATTGTAGCCATCACACCCTTGATGTGGCTAATTGTTAACATGGGTATAGGTGTCACGGGGAGTAAAACTGATAGTACACAACAGGTACCTGCTTCTGTCAAGTTTCTATAAATATGTATCTAGTAACTGCCTGAATCTGTCGAGCACGAAATAGCTATCCTATTAAATAACAATGCAATTATACTACCAACCATAAACACTTCAACTGGAGTTCCAGCATTTTTTTTTTTGCTTTGCCAAATGTTATTTGATCGCTTACCTGGAGCAAGTTACTGTTTCCTTACAGTATGTGACAGATGAGTAAAAACTGGTTAGTTTTTGAGTCTTTCTTGTTGTCAGGCTTGCTGAGGAGGTCAGTAGACTTTGAACTTGACATTGGACTTTTGCAGGACCTCAGCAAGCGTATTTTCTAATTCACATTTGCTATATTCCTAGGGGTGCAATACATTTTCTCTCTGGATCTGATAAATAAAGCTTATGTGTTTCTTGTGCAATTCTCACTTTCTTTCCAAACGTGTCTTTTAGTTAAGAGGGAATATTTGTAAGCCCCTGGTTGGAAACGAGCACCTAACAATCCAGGCTTGCCGCTGAATGATTCCCTAGATTACAGTTACACTACAAGAAAGAATGCTATGAATCTACTTTGTAATTTTTACCATGATTTATTTTACTGAGGATTAATTAATCATTCTTTCACCAAAGAATTAACAACACTCTTTTTCCAGCACAAAAGTGAATTGTTGCATTAACAAGCAGCTACAGACTGATTCCAAGCAGGCAACCAAGTGTCAGAAAACCAAAAAGGGATTTAATGCTGCACCAGTGGAGAGCTTTTGGGATGGGGAGCTAGGACGCCCGTTTGCAGCACAGTTTGGTAAGGCTTCTTGGCTGATTGCTCCTAGTGGGATAGAAAATGGGACTGAATCCAGAATACAAGGGGGATATTGGCTTGCACAGAATGAGAAAGGATCTAAAAATTTCAAGCTACGGACTCAGGTCTGTGCTGAGATTTGGGAAAGTTCAAATGAGCTGAGTTCACGTTGCTGAGGTTTGTGAGGTTACTCGCTATTGCCTGGGTTTCTGACACGCAACCCAGAAAGACTATTTCCCAGCAAACAACTCAGAGGAGCACAAAAGAGGCTTTTTCCTGGGCTTCGCAGAACTCAGGGGCTAACTCAAAACCAAGTAAACAAACCCAAGCTTTTGGGTGCTCAATCCCCCCCTGCATAAGACCCTTTGACTGTCCCATCCCGTGGCTCCTCTCCACAGCTCCAAATACTGTGGTATTGACCCCTGCTGGGACATGCAGCGGTGCTTACCTCCAGGACCATCTCTGTCATCTGGAACTGCTTCTGGGAGACCTTGTCAGAGCTCACAGGCTCGTGGAAGAGCAGGCAGAGCATGTCGTACTTCTTCAAGGCCTGCTTGTAGTTCTTCTCGTTCAGGTCGATCACTCGGTCTTTCCCATCGTAGGTGGGGAAATTCAGTCCCTCTTCTGCTTTGCAGCAGAAAAGCAGGTAAAAACCTGCCAGGATCCAGCAAGTCGCCTTCATAGGGGAGCCCTTGTAGTGCAGCAGAGGGCAGGTAAACGTCCCTCTCCTTCTTAATTTGGGAAGAGGGGGAGACCAAAGGCTCCAGGTGAAGTTCGAACCGAGTTTCTCTTTCTGCTGCCTTCCTAGTGATCAGCCCAAACTCTGCAAGGCTGGTGGGGAGCAGCAAACTCTGCTGTCCTGGGCTCACAACAAAGAGACAGACAGGAGAAGCTGTCAGGCCAAGCCCTGGATACCTTACATAGCTGTGTCCAGCTCCCGTGTCATTAGGAACTCCATTTTTAGGAAGCAGTTGTTTCAGGCTAAAAATAAACCCTGCAATGAATAAAAAGGACAGATATGACACCATTGAGGGACTTGCTGGCACTCTGCATCATCTGAAAGAGAGGGAGCAAGCGAGAGGGAGGGAGTGGAAGATGTCGATGCTGGGAATACGCAGGCAGGGTTTGTGAAGGGACAGACTTCACTTGTAGAGGGAACCAAGGCACAGCCTGTCCTACTAGGACTTAACAAAAATAGAAGGTATTTACTGCATTTTTTAATAAGGGTATATCTCTTTGTAACCCCTTGGGCATCACAGTGATTAAGCTTTGGATAACAGATCTCGGATTAAACGGTTTCAGGGACTCACCTGCACCACTAGAGGAAAAGTCCCGTTTCCTCAGCAGCAAAGGAGGTGAGCGCTCATGGGACTCCCTCCTCCTCCTCCTGCCTGGGGCATCAGCCAGAGCTGCCGGCTGACATTCAAGTTCTTTTCTGAAGCACCTTCTCTGCTTGCAGGGTACCAGGAGAATTGCTGGCTCTTGGACCTGTAATCCTAAAGCAGAGGGCAGCTTATGTTGCAACCTCCCCATGCCCAGAGCAGTCACTGAGCCCCATACATTGCTGGCGAGTGGTTAAAACCCTGTTGTACTAAGGGGGATGAAGGGCAGGAGGCACGTGCCCAGGCCAGTGTCTTGGGGCAGGAGGCAGGGCTCTCCTCAAGATGACGGACAGATGCCACCATGGCTGCTGGCCTCCCTTCCTGGGACCTGCCTGTTGGTCCGGAGGGGGAGTTTCACACAACCCTGTTGCATTTCACAGCAAGCAGTCCCACATATTCCTTCTCTTCATTTCTCGGGAACGGTGACCGGTTCCCCCTTCCCCGGGAGCTCAGCACTGGCTGCCGCTTTGCTGCGTCGCCTGCGCCATGCTGCTGGGGGAGAATGGTTCGGTGGCACAGTCTTTCACCTCTTCCCCTCCTCTGACCGGGGTGTCACCGCTGCCCCATGACTGGCAGCGACAGGCAGGTGGAGGCAGGCCAGCTGGCTGCAAGCCAGCACCGGGGCTGACGCGGATCCACTGGAGAAGGCACGCTGAGGGGCTGGCAGAGAAGAGCTTGACAGGGGGGGACAGGTCTCCCCCCCTCCGCTGAAGTGACGTGCAGACAAGTGCATGCTCCTCCTTGCATGTTGCCCCATCACAGCCTTGCTCCTTCCACACTGAGGAGATGATGTCCCTTCTTGGTGCACACAACTCTCGCCCCAACCAGTTGTTCCCATTGTATGGCTGGGATATTTCAATATTTGGGGTGAAAGGCAAGCATTACTTAGCAATTATACCCATCTCCTGGGTGACTTAGGAGCACGCGTCCCCCTCAGCGTTCACTTCCAACCTGAACAGCCCACGACATACTGACTGAAACTCTGTGGGCAATAGTTTCCAAGTCTGTCTTATTTCCAAAGCCTCCTCTGAGTTTCTGCTCATGCCTTTTCAGAAGTTCAGCGTTTGCCTGCAACTTGAAGTCCTAATGATGAAGCCTGAGGAATGTGGGTAGAAGCCAGAGCAAGACAGCCTCAGAAATACACTCCCTACTGAGGCACCCTTCAGGGGCGGTCATTTCTAGAGGGAGACGTGACAAACCTGGATACATCTGATTGCTTTTAGTGGGAGACGCAAGACGTGTCACAGTGGGTGGCAATGGCTGGCTAGGCTTTTGCTGAATGTTTAGGCTGTAAAACATGGAACTGAGCTTGTGGGATGACCAGGCATACATCAGGCTGGCTGGTTGCCTTTGAAGGACCCCATGGATTTGGGGTGCAGGAGCAGGCTTCCGCTGGCGTCAGAGTATGTTTTAAAGCAGACACTCATCAGACAGGGCTGTAAAAATGAAATGTTCACAGCTACTTCAAAATTGGCTTCCCAGGCTCCTGCCCTCCTTTTATTCTTGTAGATCTTCAGCAATTGCTCCACTTTCATATCGCTTAAGCTATTTTTGAGGCGCTTTCTCTCTAGTCGGAATAACTTTTTAATCTGCCTAAAAATAGACATAACCCAATTTTCATTTTCTCCTCTTTTTGCTATCAAAAAAAGGAATAAAAAGGCTTTTTAGTCACAAAAAGTGTTGCCTTGTTAGCCCCAGACACATCTATTTTATCTGCCCATGGCATGAGTAGCAAAGATCTGTGACTGTTAGGCTTCACCTCTGCTCCGAATGGAATTCCTCCAGCAGACCAGCACTGGATGTCATGGTCACTGAAGAGTCCACCTCTTTGTCTCTCCTCTCAAAACCTCAGTCGGACTGTTAGTGCTAAATCCAGTGGACATTTTCTGTGGTCTTTCAGCTCTAGCTGCATCTATTTGAAATTCAAGATACCTTGTTCACTAAGTCAGATGTGGTTTAAATGTCTGTACACTTCCCAGGAGGCAGAACTTGTGTGTTTGACTTAGAAAGGGATGAGCCCATGGAGACAGTCAGGACGAATTCCTCAAAATCTGAACAACTGCCTCAACCACCTGAATTTCTTAATTCTAATGAACTTTAGTCAAAGCAGATGTTCTCCTTGTAACCCTGCCGATACAGATCTGAAATCCTGGATTCACATGTTTTGGGATGTTCAGAACAGAAGTACTTGAGTCTGATACAAAGCTGCTTTTTTCTCCAGGGGCCGGTAGGGTACCAGTAGCAGAGCTGGGACTGAAACAGACTCTCCCACACCCTGACAAAGGCCCTAGGTATTTTGTCTTTTTCTTCATCATCCCTCTGGGTCCCGATAGCAGCACACTGAAACATGCCCATCTTGGCCCCAGGCGCAAATCTCCTTGGGAGTTCAAAGCTGTCCATCCACGCTCAGATAATGTTTTAGATTGAGAATTTTGGGGCAGGCTCACTGTCCAGAGAAGGACGGTGTGTAGACCTCATGGATTTGGGGAACCTGAGTTTTGCCAAAGGCCCATTTCTACGGGACACTAACAAAAGGTTTCTCTGTGTGCCAGATCCTCCCCCATAGGGTAGGAACAATAGCAGTTCCCCATAGGAGGGGAGGATGAGGGGGACAAAGAGCTTCTCTGTGAAGTCTTGGATTTTGCATTCACAGGTTCACTACAAATACTTTGTGCTATCTTTCTGCATAGTCCAAGGTCTTCCTGATCCCATTTAGCTGCCCATGGTTGCAACACATCTGTTTCTGTGGCCAGTGCCATGCAAGGGAATGTTATGGTCAGCACTGTGTCCTGGGGTCCTTGCCCCTAAGCTCAAATAGCTCATTCCTTGGCAAAGCTGGCATCTGTTAGTCTCTGATATAAGTTGATCGCAGGCCTCAACCTTCCAACTCTGAGTCCTTAACCATTGACTCCTTCAGCCATTCTGCTACTGCATCTCTTAGTCCTGCCTCAAGAAACCAGTACAATGCTTTTCCCTGGCTAACCATCCCAGGGCCGTCCACCTGAAAGCTCTCTAAGAAATGAGATGATAGGGTTCCATGCCCGCCGACCTGGTCAGGTGCCCACGTTGTTCAAACCACCTTCAGAACTGGCCCCAAAACTTCAGGCAAAGAAAGAGAGAATGAAGGGAAAAGCTTGCTATGGCTTGATCCATTCTTCTAGGCCCGTTGGGGTATATTCATTGAGCAAAATCCTGGCTCCAGGGAATTAGGTTGCAAAACCACCCCTGACATGCATTGAAGTAGGATTTACTTTGTTTCTTTGAATTTTGTGAGGATAGGTAGCCAGCGACGGTAATACAAGTGCTCAAAGCTGTACAATCTCAGCCCTTCACTTCAGGCTTGCAGAAATGCAGGGTGGGGATGTAGGATAAATAAAAATCTCCTTCTCGTTGAATTTTTTTCCTACTTGTATTATAAATTACGGATATACACTTGCTGCTTCTCCGTTCTGGCCGCTGCAGCCGCACGCCACACTGCCGTTCTCACCTTCATTGTCCTTTCTATCTCACGTGGTGAAAGAGGTCCCCAGCCACTGCTGATCCAAATGCTTGTGAGCCTTTTTTCCAGGGCTTCAGGATTTAAGGTTCTGCTTTAGCTAATCTCTTTTCAAGCTTCTAAGACCTTGTATGTTTTGCAAGATAGGCATATTCAGAAAATATGCCTTTTGCCACCAACTAGCCGAGCAAGGTCACAGCTCATAATAATTTGCAGCTTACTGCTGTCATTAGGGTGGGAGCCTCAGAGACGCACTGAACCTTTCTAAGGAGACCGAGGGGATCACTATCATCTCGAGGAAAGCTCTGCAGTGCGAGAAAACCTAGTTCTCTCTCCCTTCCCTTCAGCCCTGAAAGGTGACAAGTCCTTCATGGTGCTTTACATTGCCTGTATTCCAATGAAGTCATGTCAGTGATGGCAAGTACAAGGCAGAGAAGTTGTATCATTTGCACTCCCTCCCTTTTTTTCCTGTTTTAAACTGCCAGAGATCTTTGCAGCACCGGATGGCGCTTTGTATGTTTTGACTGAAGTGTCCTGAGACCTGCCGTGTGATAAGAAGATGCTATAAACCCTTCCATTTTCTGACACACAGACACTGTTTTTGATGAGGAAAATAAAACGCAGCACAGACAAAAGCACTTATATGAAATTATATAGAAGTTGTAAAGGGAAGGTCAACGAGATGACTCAGGAGTCCTGACTCACTCTCAGCCACGCAGACATTTCAAAAAAGTCTTGTCGTTTTTAGACATCATGTCCCCCAGAGCAAAGTTGCTCTGTGCCACCTTATGGGGACCATTGCACCTCTCTGTCTTTGGGAGCTGGTCCGGCACCTGTGTCTTATACAGGCCAGAAAGTACTTTAGAAGGTCAAAACCGGCACTGTCCCAGAAGGATTGGGATAGCTACCTCCTAATGGGCTTATAAACCCTACACAGCAGGAAAGGATTTAACTTAGACATCACTTGGGGCCAAATGGAAATCGGCCCATTGGCATGGATGGAAATGGGTGTGAAGGAGAGCAAAAAAG